AAAAAAAAAAAAAAAAAAGACAAAGATAAATACAATTTCAAAAATGAAAATAAACAGGAGGAGGAGTAAAAAATGAAATAAATGAACCTATTAAGGACTAGAGGAAATTAATAGAATTGGGTAAAAAATAACAGAAAGGAGGGAAGAACAAACATCAAAATAAAGAAAAATAATAAAATAAGCAAAGAAGATAAAATTAAAAGGAAAAAATAAACCAAAACAAAAAAAAGGAAAACAGATCTCCAAATTCCAAATAACTAATGAAATATTTTAAACAATGAAAAAGAAATGAGTCCAAAAACATTCCTCTGTGTTTTTAATTGAGTTGCTTCTTTCTAGGGTCTTCAGTCTTGGAATCCAGTAGATATGGGGTAGGGATAGACAGTCACTGCTCGGTCCCATTTTATTTCCACACTCATGTTTTTGTGTGAGTGCTGGATCTTGTCTTTTCTACTGGACATATTTGGTCAACAGTGCCCAGCCTATGCATATGGTCAGCCCAGCAACTTCCTCTTTCCATGTCTCTCTGTACACCCCAAGTCTTGGGTTTCTCTGCTTAGCTTTGTAGCCTGTGGGTTTTTTAGGTGACCCCTGCTCCACCAGCCCTGTCTGTATACCCCGGGCTGTGGCAACCATCCCAGCCGCCATACCACATTCTTGCTCACATCGATAGATGGGCTAAGTAAATGGGCCACTGAGTTCTGTGTTGATGTAGGTAGTGGGGCAGAAGAAGGGAAGCCAATCAGTCTGTTGGACTTCATGCCAGCGCTTTCAGAGTCAGTCCATACAAGTCCATCCTGGCTTCTCATCTCAGAGAGCAGGGCCCCTGCTTTCCTTCTGGTCTGAGCTTGAACATCTCTGTCCAGTCTGTGCCCTTTCTACCATTGTCTCTCATGGCTCTCTAGCACCAGTCACTGTGCCAGGGTGACACCTGAAACTCTGGAGCATAGCTGCTCTGTGGCTTAGTTCCGAATAATGAACCACTTCCCAAAGTAGCTACTGATTAAACTCACTCGAATCCTTAAGGCCCTGACTGTACTTCCTCACCCGTTCTAGCCTGCCCGGCAGGGGTCACTTTCAGAGTGAAATGTTGCAGTGTTTTTGCAGTTTAGGTTTCTTTGGGGGCCAGTGCTGCCATCTAGCTCTGCTGTCTCTCCCTGGAGCTGCTGTTTCCCTCCAGACTTGCCTTGTGTCAACAGAGGCAGGACCACTACCCAGGAACCAAGGTGAGCCTTCCAGACTGCCTCACTCCTTTCTTTGTGCTGTGCACCATCTCGCCAGCTTCTGCACAGTTGTCATTCTTCAGTCACCTCACTCCTATCTCCCAGAGATCCACCTCTTGCTTTTTCTTCACCAAGTTGTTGTCTTTTAGGTGTCTCTATTCCAGGGTCCTGGGAAGGCTGCACTTCGCTTCCTATCTCTCCTCTGCCATCTGGGTACTTAATCGGTTCCTCTTTTCTTTGTGACTTTCCAATAGGCACTTTCCCTCTATTTTTTAACTTGGTTATTGCTTTAAAAAACTTCCATGAGTGGATATATGCAGGAATATCGATTGAAGTATTTAAAACCCACATACATTCTGTGACATCATAGCCCATAAAGCATGGATATTGATAGAACAAGGTAGAATTCAGTTTTCTCTATTTTTGAGATATACTGAAGTAGTTTTGTTAATATCTTCAGAATATGAAGGGATCTTCAAACTACTTGATCAAGTGCAAGGACCTCTGGAAGTCAGGAAACAATTTGTTGAGTTTACCCTCAAGGAAGCAGCGAGGTAGGTGGACATTGGAACTGCAATTTCTTTTCATGCTTGGGCCAGTACATTGCTAGGGCTGAGAGAGAGAATGGGACCCCACCTTGCTGTTCTCAGGCCCTGGTCCTCACTCATAGCTGAGGCTGACACTACTTTGCCTTGCGTTGATGTGTGAGTCCAGTTCGTCCTTCCATGCCCACTCAGCCTGCCAGTCTCAGCAAGTCTGAGCTGGGTGTTGAGCCACTACGAACACTCTGGATTTGCCAGAGTATCTCTTACCACGTGGATGCATGCTGTTTCCAGGTAGATGGAGTGCTCCCCTTTCTATTCTCCCCAGGTGCCTCCCCATCCGTGATTCTTCGGGGATCCTTTTCTGAATACCATGTCTCTGTTGTCAGGTTTAAAAGATGGGACTTAATCAGTCACCTGGAGAAGATGCTGGAGAAAATTGTTTCTGACATCCAACTCATTGAAGATGAAGATAAGCAAACCTCCAAGGGGTATTCCTGTTTTGACAGTGATCAGTGAGAAACAAGAGCCAGTTTTCTGTGCTTCAGCATGTAGCAGAATGTTGCTGAAGTTTCCTAGTGTGCATCAAATAATTGCCTTGTAGAAGCAAAGAACATGTGGTGTTTCTGTTAATAAAAATTGGGCTGTTGCCGTAAGAATTGTTCTGAAGGAGCGGTTTGTTTTTTTCTGTAAGGTAAAAGATGTATAGCTTTGGTATCTACAGCAGGTCCCAAAGTCATGGTTGTTACTAAGATTTGTCTTCTCTACTACTCTTTTTTTTGTTGGTACCGGGGATCAAACTCGGGCCCTTGTGCTTGCAAGGCAAGCGGCGAAACCACTGAGCTAAATCCCCGGCCCTTACTACTGCTCATTTTTTTTAATTCCCTTTGCTCTGAGACAGCTCCTCAGGATGTCATGCTGTGTGGCTTGGTAGGATTACTCAAACCCTAACTGCTGAAGATTATTTTCAATTACATACTGCCCCTGAATTGGATTTGTACAATTTTCTATTACATCACAAAATAGTAATATTAAAATGGGCTCGTGACATTCCACACAGATTCGTCCTTAGTCTCTATTTAGTAGTGTCCCAATTTCCTTTGTTAGTCAGGCTCTATCACTCCACAAATGGTGGAAGCCTACCTTACTTTTTGATGGAGAGACAGTTGAGCAATGCAGAGTGATCAGCTTATAGCCCCAAGTTCCATTTAATGGATTTATCTTGAAGTTCCCTGTTGAAATATTGCAAAGAACTTTGTTCAGCACAGGCAAACGATGTTGGGACAGGAAATACAATGCTCATGAAACAGTCATAGTGACAGTAACCCTTCACATTATCCCCTTTGCTGAAGACATGAATGTGGCCATACACTTGGTGCTGAGAGGGAGCATTGCAGCAATCTGGATTATACTGACTCAGGCCCAAAAGGTTCTGCCTCAGAGTACAATTGTAACTGACGAAACTTCAAAAACAATCATTCCACTGTGCGTTTGAGCCAGCCAGTGAAGAATAATGAGGAACCTAATAAGCTGAATGAGTCTGTTAATATGAGCTCATCGCTGCACTGCATTTCCTGTGAGAGAGTTCCATGTTTGGGAGCGATGCAGTGTGGAAGGCTGTGATGGTAGATATGGCCTTTCCTAAGGCCACAGAGGATTTTTCCCAGTGTACACTGCATGCAAATGAAAATTCATATCCAGAGTAAGTACAAACAAAAAGCTGTCTTCTCCCTGATGGGGACAGAGGAAAATAAACTGCTACCTGAAAGCTGACTGACCCTTCTGGGCTATGGTGTCATGTTGTAACATTGAGGGTTTGGTGTTTGTCTCTGTTTCTGGCACGTTGGAGAGATGGCAATGACTACGCTGCCATCAATCTTGGTGAATGGGAACTCCTCATTATGGGCCTGTGTATAACATCCCTGATTCCAGGACCATGCTGCACCATCACTTCTTCAAAGATGAAGGGTTGTAACTAAGAAGGTATATGGGTGGAGTCACTGTAGGAGCCTAGAGTGGCTTCAGCATATAGAGCAAGGAAATGGGGACCTCCATCCTACAGCCTTAAGGAACTAGATCATCTGCCAATAACCAGAATGAGCTTGAAAATACTGTATTTTAGTCACGGTTCCCCCAGAAACAGATCCAATGGGGTAGAGAGAGAAAGATGTGCAAAGAGATTTATTAAGGAATTGGCTCACCTGAGGCTGAAAAGTTCCACAGTAGGCTGAGTGCAGGCTGGAGAACGAGGGGAGCCTGTCACATGGTTCAGTCAAAGTCTGAAGTCCTTAGAACCGGGGAAGCTGGTGGTATGACACAGTCCAATGCCAGGGGCCCAAGAGGGAAGGGAGTCTATTGAGGGAGGGGTACTTATGAGTCTGGAACACGGCAGCCAGAGAACTTGCCTGCCATCAGAGGACAGATGAAGAAGAGTGTCCTCACTCCAGGTGACAGAGCTTGCTTTCCTTTGCTTTTTTATTGGATGATGCCTGTCCACATTGGGAGTACATCTCCCCTCAAATCACAGTCTCACTTGCCGGTCTCAGCTGGAAACACCCTCATGGACATACCTGGGTCAGGCCAGTCATCCTAATCAAATGCCCAGTAACCTGGGTTTCCCTTTCAGCAGAAAGGGTTGGGCTCTATGCCTATCGAAGCACAGGGACCAAATAATGGTTAACCAGCCATTTGGATGTCCTTTAATCCAGTCAATTGATACCACAAACTAACCACCATACATAGTATCTGTTAGCAGTCTGGCAGAGCCATTTATTTATTGATTGATTAATTTTTGGTACCAAGGACCAAACTCAGGTCCTTGTGCTTGTGAGGCAGGTGGCAGAACCACTGAGCTAAATCCCCGGCTCCTGGCAGAGCTATTTACTTGTGTTCTTTAAACTGCTAAATTTAGTATAATTTGGTATGTAACAACAGAAACCTAATACAAGAGGTGATTATTCAGAAAAAATATCTGAAAATTGGGGGCACTGGATTTTTTCTTTTTCCTATCAACTGGTCACAGGGAACTTCAAGAGGCCACACAGAACTTTCTCTTCATCTGGGCCCCATTCTAAGTAAGGTGACTTTCAAGTCACTTATCAGTTGGTCAAAGTATCACAGAAGAAAGGGTTTATGTTACTTACCCACATCTAATGGGCTAACCTCTTGCTGTGTCCCTTTTTATTTTAACAGTACAGAGGTTGAAACATATTCATTTGCTCTTCACCTTGTTAACACTGTCTTCTTGACACATCCCTAGACAATTACTATCATTAAAATTTTCACTGATTTGGAAGGCTCTGGTTTTGTGTGGAAATGCTTTCCCACCCTCTGTTTTATAAATGTGTTGCCAGTTTATCTGGATTAGTTGCATGTTGTTGAGTGTGGTATAAGGGAGCCATAATTAAGATCCCAAAAGACTAGCTCAGGACCTAAGCCTGTAGATTTGAGACAAGCCTGAAATAGTATGTGAAGATGTATTGCTACCCTTTCCAGGTGAAGCCAAATCCTTTTTTGTGACAATTACTGAAAAAGAAAGCATTTATACAATCAGTACTGTATATCAAGTTTTCAGGGATGTGTTGATTGCCAAGGAAAGTAGAACAGCAGCTCTACTTGGAGTAGTCATCAGACTTGGTTTATGATAATTGCCCATCATTCCTCAAGATCCACAGTTTCTGCACAGAACAAGTGGGAAGTTGAAATGGATGGTGCAGTAGTAGTTAGCATCCTGGATTGTCAATCTTTAATGGTACCACAATTCATCACAGGGTGGTTTGGGGGGGGGGACCTGGACCTACTGTAGCAGAGCCAAGGCAAAGCCTTTATGGCCTGACTTCCATAAGACCCTACTCTGTGTGGTGGGCCACGGTGACATTTTGGAATTTTTTGTTTGTTTTTTGAGACAGTGTCTTGCTAGATAGTCCAGCCTAGCTTTGAACCCATTATAGCCTGGGCTTGCCTCAAACTTACAGCAATCTTCATGCCTCAGCCTCCCAAGTGCTGAGATTACAGGCATGCACCACCATGACTGGCACCACGGTGACATTTTGGCACCCTTGACAGTGTCATTCAGATCCAGTATCATATTTGAGAATTTTGATTAACTTCCCACCATGCACCAACACTAATAATTAGTGACAGGTGCATTTGAGGATGTATGGGACAATTATCATAAACATTTATTATGGCATATTTGTTGGCTTCCCCTTAACTATAAATACCTGGGATATTTAATTTATGAGCGAATAGGTTTATTGTTGCTCTTGGTTCTGGAGGTTCCAGTCTAAGATCAGGTGATTCCTGTGCTTGCAGGAGTGCACAGTGAAGCAAATCTACTAGCCCTGTGAGCCAGGATGCAAAAGAGAAAAGGACCATGGATGGACATCCCACAGTCCCCTTCCAGATCAAGCCCCCAGTGACCTAAGGACCTAAAGACCATCTCCTAAAGGTTCCACCACCTCCTCCTCTAGGGACCAAGCTTTTAACATGCATCTTTGGGGCACACTCATCTAAATCATAGCACATGGTTCTTCCTCAGAGACAAAACAGCAATTGCTGACCGACAGCAGAATCACCACAAAACTCTCTGCTGGGTTCTGAGATCTCTGTTGAAAGGAGTTTATCATAGTCTTGCCAAAAGTCATCTCCTCTGGTCCTACCAAGGTGTGTGAATTTTGGTCTGGGGCTACAGGAGGTAACTTTTGTTTTGTTGGTGAGGTTTTACTAGTTGTTTCTTTATGGCAATCATATAACATTTTGATCAGCTATGTGGCCATTTCTCGGTGAGTTGGAAGTCCTTAGCATATCATTTTCTTCCCCAAGCTCTCCAACGCATTGAGAGGCAACCAATCTTCTCCACCAGACTCCTTGTTTTGTCAGCAATATTCACGGTTACCATGTGCTGCCAGGATCCGCAGTTTGAAGAGAGGATGTGGAAGCACAAAGAGGAAAGGTAACTGGCCAGAGGTCATCAGCAAATAAATCATCAGCATACCCAGAGCAGCACTTCCAAGCTAGGTCTGTCTGCACACAGAGTATTTTCCACTCTGACAACATGGCTTACAAGCTGTAGGACCCTTAGGCTCTCCCTGACCCAAATTCTCCTACTGGTTCCTATTTATTCATCAAATGACCCTGGATCTAGAATGTTCTCTAGTCACTTTCCTTCCTTGACAGGATCTACCTGGGAGAGGAGGGCCAAGCTTTCATCTGCATTTGCCTCATCAGCTCTGAACACTCAGGAAACTGCCCCTGTCAGACAGGGTCCAGTTACCCTTACTCAGTTTACCCTTGGCCCATGGAATTGAGCTTCTCTTTCTAACCCCTAACAGATCCTTGAAAATCAGTAACCCACCATGAACTCCTCTCTCCCCCAGAGCTTGCAGCCTGTACTAAGTATTTGGAAATGACTTTTCTCTGTGCATCACCAATGCTAGGAAGATGTACTGGAGCCCAAAATGTGCCAGGCACTGGCTGTGTTATGGTATGGTCATGCTCACCATCAGCCCTCACACAAGCTTT